TTGTATTCTTCTGCCACTGACGTATTTGGAAAGGATTAGCAGCTGGTAGTTTAGTAACCAGCCCAGGTAAATTATGCAACCCGCTATCTCCGCGACTGCCTTTACCCTATAAAGTGTATTCCGATTTACTTTTAGTGCTAACTTGCCTCTTCCGGCGTTGTCCCGTAAGTCCCCGTAAAACTGTCCTGGACACAACACCTGCAAGACTATTTTAGGCTTTGCATTGCCTAACCTGTCCTACAGGGTAGACGGGCGTTTTCTTCCCCGCGTTATTACTTATGGGACGTGGATTTAGTTTATGATGTGCGCTGGAGTGCCTGGCATAACTTTAATGAAACCCTATGGACGGAAGAATAACTTAGCACTCATTTTTGCACACCCCTCCTCCTCTGTCTCAGACACGCCCAGTTGCGCTTTCTATATCCTTTGGTCCAGGTAATGTCCAAGAAGGAGGCTCTGACGCCCACGCATTCTCAAGGATTGCTGATCAGGTTCAACCCTATGTTCTGCATCGTCATGTAATCCCACATTTTTTAGTCGTCTGCTTCATCAGACTGCTTCCAGTAATTGATCCTGACACGAGAATTCCCTTGAAAAGTTGCAAATAGAACGGGTCTCATTCGGACATTGTCTAGGTCTCGTGACAGAGCGGTCCTAGTAACAATACATAAGAGGTAAAAAGTTCTGAGTTATCCGTGTTAACTTAATGGTAATACAGTTAATTTTCTGCTTATCTTACCAGAGCCGCTCCTATTCACACCAAAGCAGTATTAAGACTGCAGCTGTAAAAATTGTCAGTCGTGTTTGATCATTCTGAAATTACTATATTCTGTTATGCTTTCACTCATTTACTAAATATCCATTTATTTCGATCTTGACGAAAGTGTATTGCAAGGCAAACAAAGCAGTCGACAACGGAGGTCATTGTATGTGTTCTAAACTTCTTATTAGTACTTGATCAATTAGTCGAGCGCGTCCCCATTTTCTCCTCAATTTAAAGTCGGACTATCTTGATGAAATAACAGACAATAAAACGTTCTCCGTCCACTTATTAAATGAATTCCACGAATGTCTGTCAATATTTCTTCCGCACTCTCATGGCAATCCTCCAGACAGGTTTTATTTACTCTAGAGCGGCAATGCTGCTGGAAAACTCCGAAAAGGCATTTTGAAAATCTTAAGTACAATAGAAACATTGATTTTACTTCAAAAGACACATTATTAGCATGATTAAAATGACAATCCGTGTCTCGCGCTTTCCACCACTGTCTTGTCGAGGAGGCATTAGTGTTTTCACTGGTCGACTCGCCGCAGAGGCCCGTAATTAGGTTTGCTCGACAGCAACTGCAAGCCACTTTGGCCCTTCTACTTTGGAGTGGGCGCTTTTGTCCCCTCATTTACGTTAAAACTAAAGCAGAAAGAGCTTTCTGTACGTGCTTCTATTACACTTTACCACCAGAAAGGCCAAAATAGTTATCGAAGGTTCCCGATTAACCAAGAGGTGACAGCAGGCAGGGGAAGTAATCAACTATTCGGTGAAAATTTTCGCTGTACGCGGGTACGTAAAAGTGGATGAGTTGGATAGTTGGTAACAGGAAACCTATCTGACTTACAGAGGACAAGGCTTTACTATGTTTTTTAGGCACTTTGTGCTGTTTTCGTAATATAGCCAAACATTCGACTGAATTTATCGGTCCGGGTTATTGGTGTTCTTTTCACCACTTTCTTCATGTACGATACTCTCAGCTGGCGGTGATAAGTAGGAAAGCACGCAATTTTTATTTTCGGCCATGGGACGGTGTTATACTGATCCAAGATGTCTACTTATCCCCTATACACGTACTCGCCTGATCCGGGCAGTGGCAGTTAGAAAGCCGATCCCTTTAAACGCACCCAGTGTGTCCCGTTCGCGTGAAAGCCTTACTACTTTCAGTTGTCACTTTTCATACTTCCCGAGTGCAAAACAGCCTAGCTCAGCACGTGTATGAACTGTTCCACGGGCATGTATGAGCTTCGTTGAGTTCGTAGTACATTAACTGGTTTTCGAGGATAGACTGGCGTCCTCTCCGTACTACTCCCTGTCCTCAAAACCAGCCCTGAGATTCGTTGGCGGCCTTCACGGAAAGCGTGGTCATGCAGCCTGACGGACGTAATTTTATGGGCTCGGATGCCCTGGAGTTAGCCACTTTAACATGAAACTGTTTGCAGTCAAGGGAGGTACCAGCACGCGTGCCCGTCGGCCAAGAGAGCCTTCAGAATGCACATCAGAGTGCTGCTTGTTGCCCTTTCCGAAATGCGGACTTGTCTCGCTCTCCTGCTGGGGATGGGGGTTCGACCCGGAAACCACTTGCCGACTGGGGAGCAGGTGACTTCCGCTGGCTCGACGTCTTACACATGACCCCAACTCCTTCCGGATGGCGCTAAGTGTGGACGCCAAGACAAACCGCTAATTAACGCTCACACCTGGACTGGGGCTCCCGTGTTTCTGCACCCACCCACTGTGATGACTCATCAAGACAGTCCGAGCTGTCCCATATCTTCACGCGAAAACAGGCCCCCCGCCACCCTATCGTCTTGCCGCCTCGTCGATGCCTGTGGTCTGACCCCACCACTTGTACAGCTGACTAGTCTCTTCTCCCCAGGGTGCGGGGAATTCACGCCAGCCCCCTTCACCTAAGTCGGCAGCTCTCTCGGCGAGCTGACGCAATCATTGTGGTTTGTAGGGAGTCATTTTTCGTTATCATTAATTGTTTGCTAAGGAGTTGGAATAGTGCGCTGTTGCGTCTGCCCAGTCCATCGTTCTAGCTGTAGCAAACTGTGGTGTGTGCATATTTTTGATAAATTACTCGTTTTCCCTCGTTACGAATGTATGCACCAGGCAGCCTCCCTAGGCTGATGTAAGCTCGTCAAACTTTCCTTGCTCAAAAGGCACGCTAATTTTTTTTCGACAGCTGGCCCTATTCGCAACCATTAGTGAACGTATTTAACTGCACAACCGGCGCACCGTGGGAGTACATTATTTCTCTCTAATGGAGCGTATTTAAGCGCGTAGGGGGGGGTGGGGGTAACCTAATAGTTTTTTCCCTAAGGGTTTCCCGTATACAGACCTAGACCACGGGGCTCGTAAGATGAGCGAATACACGCACTCTGCCGACCTGCTTATCCTGATCACTAACTGCTGTCATATTTATCAGCAAATTTTGCACTGACCCGATTGTGAGAGCTTGTGTAGACTGAAATACAACCATCTCCCAACCCACCCCCCCCCCTCCTAGAAAAAATCAGTCGCCAGACCGTCATGAATCCCGTGCGGGCGGCATCCCCCAGTACCATTCGAACGTCATCGTTGGATGCTGTTTATAATGCCCACGAAAACGGCACAAGCGAGCTTGACTCCCCATACTGCTACCTCATTAAAGCGCAAATGTCTAAATTGTTCATTTCCCACTAAGTCTGAATCGTTCAAGCATTGAACCCTGCTCGTATAACCTTCTGCCATGATGGTTAGATGGTACGCCATGTCAATACAAGTGAATGCTCAGTATGCTTTTTCTGCAGCCTTATGGTTTACGCTGTCACCAAGGAAATAACAGGGGCATGCGTTCCAATATATTATTTTTGGGTAGACAACCAAACTCCGACTGAATTATTGTGGCTAGAGGGGACGAAGCCAGTGAATATACTGTCCAAAGGTCGATAACCGAGGTCGATAACCACATACAGTCGTCTGCCCGACGAACAGAACATCCATGAATATATTGATTTCAGGGGGGCGGGGTTATATTTCAGTCTTGATGAGAGTTTCATTCGACTCGATTAGAAGTCCGCCTATCCTGTCCTAAGGACGTGGCGGCAAATTGGCCTTCGTAAACTTGACCTGAACTCATCCGCCTCACTCACCACTCTCACCCACCGTGTTTCAGTAATAGGCCATAGTCAGGAGGGGTGGACATGGACATAGTGACACAAAAGGCCATAAACGGCCCGTCTAAGCGTGTCACATACGACATGGCTCCGGAGTGCACGCTAGTCACACCTAAAAGAACAGGGCACTCTTCGATCGCCTACAAGTGTATGCGCCGTAAACGTCACAGTAAGACGAAGCCATTACAGTCGAGAGGATGACTGAAGTAACCCGTCACTTGGTAGCCTTCAGACCAAGAGTTCTAGCTCTTGGCAAAAGCGGGGATTCCGCTGAAACGTCCTTGGGAAGCATGCCTCAGTAGCAGCTACACTATCTTCCCCCCGCCATGCATCACTAGCATGTCCGAGGCTGTCGACCGACTGGGGGGTAAGATCGATCGGGGAGCACTTGATGTGGCGGGAGTCACTGTGGATGGTGAAGTGTGCCACAGCAGGACTTTCAAACAGCTCCTGTAGGCGGTTAAGATGACTGTTTGTCGGTGCAATGGCGAGGTAGGATGGCGGTTCCAAAATCAGAAGGCAAGCGAGACAGTTAGATGAACAGGACGTCACAGAGACAGGGAGCGTACAGGCAGAATCGCAAGCAGCTGCAGGTAGCGTCCTCACGAGGCGAGTGGCAACCTAGGTGCCCGCACCCGAACTTCGGCTGCGGCCTATCGGGAAAGAGATAAATATCGATCGACGTCAGGAAGTCGCAAGCTGGAGGGCGATTCATGCGCGTAGGCAGACCGGAAGCGGCGCTGACGACCATGAGGACGGGCAACGTCCCCTTCCACTTCCATTTTTCACGAGTCATTTATAACAGTGGACTACATTCACTTTTCTTAATGTAAGTAATGCTACATTATGTCATTCTCACTAAACTGCTGTCTTCTGTTACCACAGGCTACGGCGTCATCTGAAATATGACGTCCAAAACTTCTCAGAGGCCAGAATCCCACAGTCTCCGCAAACAGACTCCATCCTCTGGATACTCTGGATCCTTCCTCACACTACTCCTCATTCCCATTTTAAGTGTTGTTTGCGCGGACGCGGAGAGGCCAAGGTGTCCGGACATCTGCCAATGTGTCTCAACCATGATGGATTGCAAGCAGCCCGGCCTGAGGGAGCTTCCTCCGCCTCCGTCAAGGAAGCTCGAAATGGTCGTCATCTCGAATCAGACTTTTCGCAGCAGTGTGTTAAGTTCTCTAACCTTGAAACCCTACTGGTCTCCTGAGTTCGGCGGCGAAGTGCGACTGAAATTGCTCAAGATACGCTACTGCAACATAGCCAGCCTGACACGCGGCGCCTTCAGCAACCTGGGTCTCCAGTTGGAGGAGTTAGACCTCAGTGGCAATCCGTTGAAAACAATCGATGCTTTCGTTTTCAGTGGACTTAAATTGAAAAGTCTCTTTCTGAACAACCTCCCCAGACCAGTAATAGATGATAATGCTTTTTCTGGGGTTCTGGAGGTGAATAGCCTCAGCCTGCAAAATTCGCGCCTCACTCAGCTGTCGTATCCTGCTCTACTTCAGTTGACTCAGTCAAACTTCCTTAAAAACCTTTTTCTCCATGGTAACCAACTCTCCAAAGTCGAGGCTTCATTTGAGCACATATTTCGGACGTTGCAGAGTTTTGAACTGACAGGAAATCCCTGGCACTGCGACTGCAATCTACTCTGGCTAATTCAAATCTACCGACTGAGTCGTATCAATGGAGCCCAGATGTCGAGGGTTCACCAGCAACCTGCCTGCTTCGGTCCTGATGATTTCACTAATTTCTCCTTTGACCAGATCGCACTGAACGACAGTGAGCTTTATGCGGAGCCCTATTTCACAGGCAGTCCTCGGCCACTGCTCATATGTGAAGTGCCGCGTCTGGAACACCTGGAGGTGGACCTACGCCAATTCGTGGCCGACCCTAAGAACAGCCAGGCTGTTCTGGGATGTCTGATACGCGGTACACCAGAAGTACAAATCAGCTGGACTCATCATCTTGCCACGGGCCAATCAAGAAATGTCACTTCACAGGCCGCACTAGCTGCCACCCCTGCTGTCAGTTCTGAGCGACAGGCTTTCGAATTTTCTCGAGGCAGGGCTCCTGTTTCACGGTGGAGCAGTTCACTGACTGTGAGCCGCTTCAACGCGTCCGACGTATACTCCTGCACAGGAACTAACCTCCTCGGAAATGTCTCTGCCACAATTCGAGTTCTTTGGCCAAAAGGAGCGAATGCCCCCGCTGTTGTGAAAGGAGCGAAAGAAACGGAGACAGAAGACCCCCTGGGTACGAGGCGGTCTTCATTTGGCCTTAATCATCAGCTGCCCTACGACCAGTACAACGTTTTGGCCAAACGATTTAGCCTGATGGACGTAATCGGTGCTGTGGTGGGCACCTTCCTGGTCACTATGCTGCTTTTCGTCCTGGCTTATAGATCTTCCAGGCTATACAGCTATCACAAGTCCAAGTGTAGGGGGCATATGATGCTTACTGGTCTGACAGGCCAGGAGGCCTCCAAACATTCCCCTGGAGGTACCTCCTCTTCCGGTATGGCTTCCTCCCTGCTCCGATTCTCTCATCCACCGGTAGAGCAGCCGACCAAAGCCCCAACCTTCTTCGACTTTTCGGAGCAGACAGTTCAGACGAGTACCTGCACGGCTCCACCTCCAACTCATCAATCGCCTGTGATGAGGGGCGTCTACAAAAGCGCTGGCCTTGATGAACAGACAGGCAAGAATCAACAGGGTCAACGGCAACAGCAGCAGCAGCAACCGACGGTTGCACTCGCCAAACAACATGACTCAGGTACCTATAATTCTCACTCCACTGTCTCCTCCGCCACAGCTAACGGCCAAGGCGCCTACGAGACAGTTTACAACGAGCCGAACCAGATCATGTACGAGACTCCGAACGATGGTCTTACTGGGCAGAACCAGTCCTTCCTCTATCAACTCGGTGGTCATTTGAATATGCAGGGCTATCCCGTCCTCCTGAGCGGTACTCTACCTCGCGGTCCGGCTGGGGCATTTACACAGGTGCCTTTCTCTCTGCCGCCATCCCAATACCCTACCTACATTCCCCCACCACCCTCAATACAACAGCCGACCCTGCCAGGCACTTCTGCGCTGCCTCGAATACCACCGGGGTCCTCCGTTGCGAATGGCATGACGATGCCGTCTGGGCAGGGGTACACGCATTCAGCTAACTTCCCTGCCACAGCCCGGAGTTCCGTGGTCCTGATCAACACCTCTACTGGCGTCCCAGCTCATAATAGAATCACCTGAACTTCTCCCTCTATCCCAGAACTCTCCCGCGAACTTTGCCACTGGTCTCAGATCTTGCTCAAAAATGCTGCCCACTGTGGCAGCAGGGGATTCATATACTGTTGTTTTTTTCTCACCTCTTTTGTTTCTGAAGCACCGTGACGTTAAATTTGCACTTAATTTGTTTCTCCTTTTTTCCACAGAGTACCAAACTAAGTCTATACACGCGAAAGAGCATATGTACATATGGATAGTGAAGTCCCTTTCACTGTCCCACATGTCTCTACCTGTTGAGGCAATCTTTTATTTCTACCAAAATAGAACCCTGCCGGTTTTCTTTCTTCTTACGTTTTAAAAGCCTCAAATTTTGGCAGTTCGAAATATATGCACGGCGTCTTGGCGATGCTTCCCTAGTATAAACCTCAAACTGCTATTATGACGATAGGCTTTTTAAGGAGTCATGAGCAACTTGAGGTAAAACGAGGCTTGTCAAATGTTTCGGCACCTGTTCTGAGAAGGATCTTTTTGAAAGTCCCAGCCCCACTTCTACCTCCTCCCTGTTCTTGCAGCCGTCCTTGTCTTCACATTAGTGACAACTGACACCCTAGGCAAATAAAACAATGGCAGCAGTTATGGAAGTGTATATCCGAGCCATACACAGAACTGCACTAATGTCCGAGTTGGAAACGCTTTCGTGGTTTGTTTAGCTTTTTTGGGTTGGCTCTCCCGTTTTTTTTCCGGAGAACCCCATGCAAATCGTTTCCGCTGCTAAAGGATCTCACTGTGTGAGTGCGCTTTGAAGAACGCTCATTCAGTTTTTTCTGTAGCTTCCCTCTTCGGAGATGATGCGGTGGTAGAAACTATGAAAACCCGGTGCTCGAGAGCTGCATAATATGAAATAAATGGTGATTTCAGCCTACCCTGTGACTGGTTGCCGGGCCGGTAGCCCATGTGCGATGTAGTACTCGGCGACTGTCACCCCGAGTGGCGTTCCCGTCCACTATCGACCAAGATAGATGAACTAAGGAGCACCCACAGCTTGGTCGGCTGTGGATAAATCGATAGTTCGTACAGAAAAAACCCGTGGTCCAAAGTCGAGATTTTATTTAATGCAGGCATCTTCAGTGGCTTTCGCTCTGGCCGACTTACCCGCTCCGATTTGTGCTCCAGACGAATAAAAATCATCGGTTCCTCTAACTCGGCGACCTGGCGATGCGCCAGCTCTGCTAGAGTGCAAACCAACTGTATAATCGGGTAATGTATGGTAGAAGTGCTAACTCATGAAACGTTAGCGGAAACTCTGAAATACGTTTTCGACTCAGAAAGATTACTTATGTAAGTGGGGTTGCAATATTAGTTACCCTTCAGCATAATCCCATGATAATTCAGTCATTTAAGGACGCCGTCTTTTGAATGAACTTTCCAGCCGTTTACGAAAACTAGACTTGATGAGAAATGACTACTTAGGTGGTACGAATTCTTCTTATTGGTTTTCGAAGCCCCCATAAGTTCAAATATATGTCGTTGAGAACACACAGGAAAATATTCATTCCTCAGCGCATTTGAATGAAAACTACGTCTCCTTTAAATTTTATACTTGAAGGAAGGGGACAAGTCGGTTTTAAAAAAGTTTCTGATTATGAAATTTTTTAAGACCGTGAAGTGCCCGTTCCTCAAACATCGTGTCTCTGCATTTGCTAGTGTTGCTGACACAGTTTATAATATGGCTCAAATCTGCTGCCAAATTTCATTAACCCCGTATAGTCTCCTCTTAATACCGCATGGAAATGTATGATTTTCCGTACACGGAAAATATACAGCTTGCGGTGTCGAAACCCTGAATAAAATGTAACGGCTGGTCGGATTCAAAATTATTCGGAAATTAGAAAAGTTTTCTAAGACCTAATTATATCCTTTAAGTATAATATTTTGGCAAGACGTAATCTTCTGACAAATGGGTAAAAGAGTGAATATCTCTATGCCTGTTTTCTACGAAAATCAATAAGAAAAATGCATATTAAGTGGTCACTTTTTACAGTGTATTTTTCGAAAGCGCTGGAAAGAAGTGCTTTCAAAAGCGGACATCCTGAAGTAACTGAATTGTCATGGGATTATGCGTCATGGTGATTGATATTACAACCCTACTTGAGTAATCTTTTCGAGTCGAAAAGGCATTTCAGAATTTCGGTTAACATTTAATGAGTTAGCACATTTACTGTATCTACCCACAAGGAAAGAATGAAAGCTATGTAGCTATTAACGACTTTGCCGGCTCATCCACTATCCAGTCTCTGCCTGCGACGATCCTTCGAAAGAGTTTATAAGTGGCTATCGAAGCGGATTTTTCTGGAAAAAACGTTATTCCGATGACATCCTCAATTTGCTACTCTAGAACGTCAGAAACAATACTGTCAGCAACCACCCCTGGTAAAATAGCCATTGTAATAACGACCGTGTGACTACGCACCATATCAGTTACTGCGGTCGCACTCAAGACATACTCATCGACGCGAAGCCTGATAGTCCAACAACCTCAAATCCTCTGAAACCCTGTTCCCAGGCATGCTTTAGTTAGACATTTTCAAGTTACCGGAAAGCAGGTGGTTGTGCCATTTGCACACGATGTCAAGCGTACCCTAGGCGGATATTACCCTTATGAAGACTAGGCATTGCAGCCTTCGGAATGTTTATCAAGACCGGTATGGTCATTTGGATGCCCCAGTGGAAAAATTGTCCCTCTGAGGTCCACCTTATTAGCATTTGCCATCAAATTCCGGTTAAATATGACCGAGGAAATAATGACCAGCTCTAGAAGTCCACTAACGTTCTTTTGGTTTTCGCGGCCCCTTTTCCGCTGGCTTGTGATTAAATTCTTGACTTACCTCACGTTTGTGTCGACAATAAACTCTCAGAGAGCTCTACTCGTGCTGAACGTGTCAGACCGCACTGCCAAAGGCTTAACTGACACGGCGTCGCAAGTACCCCGCGCCCTCTGCGGTTGATTTCCAGTCGCCGTTATCACCCATCTTGACTGCAGATAGTGTTCGAATTCGCTCATTTGATAGGTTAATTCTTTGACAGAAACCGTCCTTGAACAACGGCTTACAAACCTATGAGTCAACGGGCTGTGTAGCTTTATCACCGACGGCTGAATTTCATATGCCTCTCTTACCCTTCTCCTTATCAACGGGCCTACACCTTGTCATTTTTATATCTCAGCGTCCGTATCACTCCGATCGCTGACATCGAATGAGCGTCGACTGACTACGTCGAAGATATGAGTAAACCGTTTCCAGGACAGTTTTCCTCACTGGGCTTGGCCACATAGCCGTCAACTTGTCGGACCTGCTCAAGCGTGAGAAGTAACAATTTTCTGTCACCCACAAACGTGGCTATCCCCCGAGTCACCTGGGATCAATCACCCTCTACGGAATTGTGTAGGGGAACGTCATGCAGTCTTCTTGTCACCTCTGGCAACGGCGCATTTTCCGTGGAGATGTGCCGGTTCGGGGACAGCAGTATCTCTATTTAAGTGCTTAATCCAGCCTTCGTTAAGACTGGTCATTCTGCACCCCCTTCGCGCCATTCCTACAACGGGTGGCTTCTCTGGAGCTTTTCTTCACCGGAGACCAGCAGTACGAAATTCAAGGCCAGTGTCACCGAGCAACCGCCCCAATCTAACCTATCTTGGTATGCAGCTCACTGGCATCATTCATAGGTGTGAGCTCTCCGTGACGGATGGCTAATCGACTGTCCCGTCCCGCTCTGAGTCTTGCAAAGGGGGAAGAAGTTGTTGACGTTCCCGCCAGGCGCGCTGCTTCACGCGTAGTCGCCAAGCTACGTCGGCACGCCTATTCAGACGCATTGACCCAAGCGACATCTGCTCGCGATAAGGACTTGGTTTCCACTGCGAGTAATGATTTATCTGGTGGAGAACTGCCAAAACTGTATTCCCATCGGCTGTCTGCCGACCGGTCGACAGTCCAGGCCGTGAGCACATTTTATACCGACAGGAACCATAACTCCGTCGAAGTTAACTACCAGCAACTTTATCTCTTCCGCCCTGTGATTTGCGCTCACGATGAGTGAGGGATAAGAAGTGGAAATTTCCTGCATGTCATACTCTCCTTTCCTGTCTACTTCGAATTCGGGGGGCACTGAATTCAGTGATCGTAATTGCTGATTAGTCCTTTGACAATAATCCGTTGTGGCTCAGTTTCTACTCAGCTAGAATGCTCCAATGGGCGAACGCGAAATCCCATCGCAGTTAAGATCTTGTGCAGGGGTCACTATGAGCGATACATGCCCTTTCCTTCTTTTCTACTATGATAGGCGGTCAAGAAATGAGTGGACTTTATAGAGAGTAGAACGCAGGTGCAGTGATTGAGGATTGGATGAACTTATCCGCCAGCAATTTTATCTGGACCACTGTTATTACTTGTAACAGTCGCTGGTGCCACACACAGGGTTTAAACCCTAATTCGAAGGGGTCCTTCATACCGGCCAACTCGCATACTCGAAAAAATTGAGTCTTGCAGGGCTTGCTATTTTGAAACCCAAGAAAGGCCTGCTGAGTCACCCCCCTCCGGCGAATAAATATAGTGGCTCCTGCCAAAACGTCATTTTTTCAGTCTCCTGCCGTGCCCGTCGCGCACGTTTTTCATCAAATTCCTTTGAAGCCACACTTTTAAGGAGCACCGTAGGCCAAGGAGTGTGCCTGAAAAGCCTGCACGTCCACGCACGAGGTGAGAGGGTGAGTGGTGACTTGATTAACCTTTCGCCGGAATCCTCCGAATTCGCTGGAAAGAACCAAAGTCGGGCAAACTCATTTGGTGAATCTGCCCCTGGCATCACAGTCGCAGAACTGGTCAGATAGAGACGCAGCCAACCCTATAGGGACGTGAAGGCTGACTTGGTTTTTAACGGAGTGATGAGGAAATCTCGACCAGGTTGTGAAACCTCCATAAGATTATCTGTTGAGCTCATTCTTAATTACAGCCGTTCTTGGTTCTAGTCAAGAAACGTTCGCCACTTCTTGTTTAACTTGCCCACTCTGACAATTTTTACGAGAGCTTACTGGAACAGAAAAGAGAAGCGGTATCTACTTTTGTCACTAGTACTTACTAGTTGTCAGGAAGGCTTGTCTATATTTAGGCACCTGCTCTGTTGTAAAGTATGGGTTGTCATTTGTCTATCTGTTCTCTGGGAGGCGTCTTTCTGTGGTACCCAAGCCCGTGTGTTTTATCTTCCAATAGTCCTGGGGTCTTAGTTAATATGAATAACTATAAAAAGATTTCGAAACAAAAATATATGGAAGAAGTTGGTTGTACCAACAAATTTTGCAACGGCTTACCAACTGCCTGACCAAGGCCATGGAGTTCTCATTCTGAACCGGAGAGACCATGTAAGCAAAATGACCTTTTTACCGATCCGTGTAATTTTCGTCTATAAAAGCTAGAGAAAGATGAAACCAAGGCAATGCAAGACTACGCCTGAAAACTATCTGAACAATTGTTGGACAGAAATCTGGTTGATGCTAAAACCGCACTATCCCTCAGACCAGGGGACACGTGTAATCCCAGACTGTATGGGTTGCCAAAAACGCATAAAGAGAACATACTTCTACGACCAATTCTCTCTATGCCAAATTCATTCCTACACGTGCTAGCACAGTGGCTTGTCAAGGAATTAGAACCAATCCGACACCGATTTTCGACTTACACGATGAAGAAAAATTTCCATTTTATTGTAAAAATTAGGCATCAAAATATTTCTAGCAAATACATGATCCCCTTGGACGTTAAATAACTATTTACAAGTGTACAAATTGATGAAATAATAGATGTCATATACGTCCATACGTCTGTAAGCCTTCTTTCACCCGAAATACTACGTGACTTGTAGAAACGGTGCACGAAAAGTGTTCAACTTCTGTTTGATGGACAACTATACAGACAAATGGACGGAGTAGCAATTGGAAGTCCACTTGGAAAAACCCTTACCGTCATTTTATGGGCCACCTAGGAGAAGAGTTGTCATCCAACTTGAACATGAAGACTATACAGCAGATATGTAGATGATGTATTTGCAATTGCTATAACGGACAAAGACGAAGGAGACTGGAATGGCCATTTCCGGCTTATTAGCCGTCGTCAGGTGTTCCACACTTCGGAGTTGGGTATGACTGGCTGACGATGGCAAAGAGGCTAGAAACGGCCATTGCAGTCTCCCTTGACTTTGTCGGTAATAACATACTGCCTATATCATGCGCTGCAGTGCGGCTGCTGGTTGAGCTCGAGAGAGAGAGCCCTTAAGGCACAACGGAACGAGTGTGCTCCGTAAGAACAATCAGTGTGCGGCCCTCTACCATGTTTGCAATTTTTGACAACAACGGGGAAGTCGAAGACCTCCTTGTTGAGTCTCCATCCAAAGATTAAAAAGAAGAGTGCAACAGACTATCTTTTCTGGGCGTCCTCATGACTAGACAGGAAGATGGCTCAATAATGTTATCGGTTTTCCATAGGGATGCCTGGAAAGGTCAGCGCCTACACTTTCCGAGCTTTGTACCAATACAGCAAGAGCGAAACCTAGTGTGCGCTCAGTTCTAAAGAGTGGGAAACATTTGCTCATTTAAGACACTGCATGTAAAAATTGTTTGCGTAAAAACAACATTGCGTAAACGTGCATATCCAACGCGTATCATCCAAAAGTACAGCAACACTTTACGGCCAAAAATAACGGAACAGTCACTTCCGAAGAAGCCCCTGGTAATATCCCTACACATTAAGGGTGACAACATTTCAAATACCATAAAACGACGATTAAGATGTATCTTTGAAAGGACACACAATGCAGCCGAACTCATATTCAGCAATCCCACTAAAATTATTCCAATTCCACAGGCAAAGTATGTCTTGCCACTGCATTCCACCTCACACTGTACTTTTGAATTCACATGCACTTGTTGCTGCAAGTGCATTGGACGAACGCAAAAGCAGCCAGCCTGCCTAAACGGTTTTTAGGGCAGGAAAGTAGAATTCCTCGTTCTTCTATCACGAAGCGCCTCCTAGATAGCGATCGCGCCATTGACCCCAAAACATCCTCCCGAGTATTAGTTCGAGCACGGAAACTCGGACATTGCGCTATTTGGAGGCCGTCCACATACGGTGGAAAAAAACCGACCGATGCAAACACTTAGACCACGTAGTGAACTTCAGTTTGCCCTGGTAAATCTAAGCCCTTTAACTTACGACCCCCCCCCGCGTGTTAACTTACGCATTTTCTTTCCTAAGTTGTGTTTTTCAGTCGTCGTTTTTATTTTTTAGGCTGTGTAAATTCAACGATGACCTTTCTGCTTCGCATTAATTTTTGCTGTGGAAATGCACTTCTCTGTATCTTTCTCATTCGTTATCTCTTATGCAGCAACAGGTTACAGTTGATAAGCCGTCGCAAAATTTGTAAGTTCTAATAAATTCTGCTGTGCATGCCTGTTTCAAATTCACACCAGGAAAATATTGGGTCGGATGTGGGTTGGTAGCCACACCTGAAGTAAGCAAACCTCAGTCACTTCTAATACGGGACCGTTGGTAATGGGGTTTTTTTCAGGTGGGATCGACGAAAGCACAGGCGACGAGGTCAAGTAGTTGAATGCAAAAGAAAGCTATTGAGAATGCGCGGTCGTACTTTGAATGGATGAAAAATAATTGCGCTAACTGCTAACCCTAACCCCTAACCCTAACCATAATCCCTAAACACAGCCGCTAAGGCTAACTTTTGACCCCAACCCCAGCAGTATTATGTCCATCAGGTGGGGCTACCAAACCATATCTTATCAAATATTGCTATAAAAGATTTACAAATGGGCCACCCCATATACCTAAATCAGGCCAGACAAATTAATGTAGGCTTGAGTTATGTGCGTGTGTGTACTAGAGGTAGGTTAGATGGCTTCCGGAAGGCAGACGCTTGTAAACAGTGGACCCAATTTACTTTGACGACCTGTTGGTCTCGTAGCCATTAGTTCAATCGCTAGGTCGAAAATCAGCCGTGTATGCAATATTGCCATCCGTGTAGGCATTTTATGCAACTCAGAGCATCCTTTATAATATCGGTAAAGAAACTAATACGAATTTGGATCCGACAAAGACAATGACGATGTTAGTGGAGAAATAAGTGGTCTATCCTATCGCGCGGGTGGACACCGCTTCATTTGTCAGCGAAACCAGGCAAGGATGACTGAGGTAACGGTAATATCACGCTTGAGTCAATCAGTCCTCATTCTACAGCTTACGTTGCGCGACAGCTAACTTAGATTTTAAGTACTGTGGGGTGTATTGAAGCGTTTGGCATGCGACAGTTCGACTGTCGAAAGTGACGACGTTCACTGCATACCCCAAATAATGGATGCAAGGGGACTGGCTTGCGCCCGAATTAGTTTGGTTGAAACAGCTTCTATTTCACTCTCTTTCCCCCTTAACCCACCTTGATCCAATGACAAGACAAACTGAATACGACTGGTGGTGCATGTGTGATCGACGAAGCCAAGCTGCCTCTCTTCTTGTCACACAGACGACCTGGTCTCATTCCAGATGTACTAGACCATAACATGAGCCACTCTGAGCTCACACGTGAGCGAATGCATAAAGGTCGCGTTAGAAAGAGCCCATTACGGCCTGAAACTGAGAAAGCACGGGTTAGGGCTTAAACTGGCAACCTTCCAAGCCCGACTCTTAACGCGTCCTGATAAATTCAAGCGCGGAAGGTTGATGCACATTGATGTGACACGTCGACCTCACGTACTAGTCTCCCACACATCAGTCTACTGTCAAAAGTAAATCCTTGCTGTAAATCGGGGTTCAGGCAATTGAGTGGGACCCGAACGAAGATTTTGTCTGTGCTGTTCAAATGGGCGATGCTTCCGTGGTTGTGATGGAGTTGCCGGTCCCCTTGCATTTGTATAGATGGACATTGGGGACGTCCACTAGTTCGTGAAGGGTTTTCTATTTTCTCTCTATCTCCTGAACTGGCAAGGTGAACCTGCCCATGGTCTGATGGTCGTCACGCTTGTGGACTGGAGATTGGAGGGGACCAGCGCCCTGCATCTGGCCGCTGGAATCTGGCGTACAGCTTCGATGGTTGCCCACATCGAGGACGGATGGCCGACGTCCACGATGGTCTTTATTTTAATGAGTCTGTTGATGTCTTCGTCGGATGTTGGGGATGGCCCATTCAGAACACCAGTCAGGTACTTCAGAACTTTGAATTTCCTGTCAGAAGGGTTGGTTCGACGAAAATGAGCTGCGACGCGGCTCCTGTGCGTTATCTGCATGAATGAGAAAAACCTTTTCTCTTCCTTACTGTCTGCGCACCCTTGGATTCCTGCATTCCCGTGGGTCATTCAAACATTTTTCATGTCCTTTAATTGCATTTCAGCAAGCCTGTACATCAAAAGTGAGCTGGTGTAGGTGGTACGCAGTCTATTCTTCTCAGAGAGCAAATTGAAGACCTACTCGTCATTATCATTGAGCCAATCGTGGTGTTGGCAGGCTGCGCGAATGATGACAATGAACGCCCTGCAATTGCCCAACAATTATTCCAGTCTCATTTACTATGCGGACCGCTTAACTCGGTTTCTGGACGCCATGCCTCTGCCCAATATCGAAGCTGCAACAGCGATCAAGGCCCTCCTCAGTCGTTTGGTTGCAATCTTTGGTGTTCCCTCCACCATCCCGACTGACAGCGGAACTAAATTGGAGTATAATCTTTCCCAGTCTTTCCTCTCTTTATAGGCTTTGCTCTAATCCGCACAACAACCTATCACCCGGCTGCCAGCGAGATGGTAGAACGGTTTAATTGTCAGCCAAAAACATCCCTACGGAGAACTGGACAGACCACCTCCCCTGGTTCTGTTAGATATCCGTCCCGTTCGGAAGTCGAGATCTGCGTGTTACGCTGCCGGACTGATGTTCGAACCTACTGAGCGACTTTGCGGTGATATGGTCTCCCCAACCTCTCGCGGTGCGATCCAGGACCTTACCAACCTCCTGCACCGTTTGAGACAATCTATGCGGAGAATCTCTCCGGTTCCAACCAGGCTATCAGTCTCCGATTCTTATCCGGAGGAAGACTTGACGCAATGCACTCAAGTATACCGCCGATGTGGTCGACTGAACCGACCACTACGACCATCCTACAATAGCCCATTTAGGGTTGTCGCTCGAGGGCTAGAAACGTTTGGCATTCAACGGTGAAGTTGTGAGGTGTTCGCGAACGTGGACCGCCTCAAAGCTGCCGTCACGGGCACTCCCCGGATGAGTCCTGTGGTTTATTTCCCCCTGCTCCTCCTCCCCTAGCCTCTGCCCCTCCGTTGATGTCCGCTACCTCTAACTCTATCTCCCACATCAACCTCTGGCCTCCAGCCGGAGAACGCTTGCGCGTTTCTCCTGTGTGCCCGTATATATCATAATCAGTGGCGTGGACGTCATGTTCACTTGCTTGATCATTTTATTACTTAGGTTTTTTAGGCAAGAACAAATTCCCTCGTCGTCATTGCACGCCACCTCCGTTTTACCCGGTGGGTAGTGTGCCAGAGTGCCGGACTAACTAGTCTTTAACTGTCTGACCACTTTTCACTAACGGCACTGCTTGCTGTGATGTAACATACAACCAAGCCTGGAGGGATTTCCCGCTAGACGCGTACGCTTGGAGATCGGGTCGTTGGATTCTTGAATGTTAATTTTGTTCACCTACTGGTTTTTTACTATTTTTCGTAGTCAGGCTGATGTGTATAACTGATGGCTTAAACTCGCAAAATATCGGCTGCTAGTTGTAAGCACTACGTTTCCGACACATCCACTGCCATCTCCTGGGTAGAACTGCCATTTAGGTCAACGAATAAACGCAACGAAAAATTAGGTTTGTTACTCTTTGGCAGAACACAAGATCAGGCCAGGGCACTATCTGTTGTTTTATTAATCCCGTATGGAACTTATCCATTTTTGACTAGGTCAGAGAGGACATCGTTTGGTTTTTCTGGTAGAGATGTCACAAGAATAGTAATTTTCGTATGGTCACGCGTCAAGAGGCAAGTCAGCGACAGAGAGGCTGAAATGGAGTTAACAGCTACAGTGGAAAATATGCCGTTTTCAAGAGAAATTTCATTCCGTAAAATTGTCACGCGGTTTTGGTGACAGTCGAATCCATTGAGCACAAGGCTTTCCCGAAATGCGGTTCCTGTTTATCGAAACGCTCAAGACGAGACGGTTCTTGAGAGTATTTGCCCAAGTTCTTTTTTATAATGGTGTCGGTTTAGTTCATACTCGCGAACTCTCCCAAACATAAGTGCCGAAGAGGATTTAATTTCACAAATGGAAAACATCAATGAATATACTCTGTATCGATTGAAAAACACCTCTAGCAAAATTACCTATTGTGAAGTCACTTTGATATACTACATTTTTGATGAATCCTCACGTCCTTCATTTTTTCAACCGTTAAGTCAAAAGCAAAACTGAAACTGTTGGCCCACTTATGCAATTTTCTGATAGATACTGGCAGGTTTTTTGTCGCAGATGAAAAAGGCTTAGTTTTCTTTCCTTCCGCGATTATGAATGTACCACAGAACGATTTCTTAAATACTAAAATATTACACAAACCGCAGATGTTGTGTACGTTCCGTCCCTTAGTGAAGCAATGACGAAACTAAACTACGCAAAATGTACATTTGCTCAAAAGTTAGACTGGCCACGTCACCGTTGCTTATGAAATATTTGGTGAGGATAACTTATTGCCCCCCCCCCCTGGCAGAAATGCCCCCATCCCCTAATACGGCTACTTTGCATTAAATCCCGGGAAGGTTATCTATTCCCTTGCCTTAATCCGAACACTAACTTTAAGCCAAATGTTAAGCGTAACCCCAATTCCAACTCAAACCCTTCTCTTTACCGTGACTCTGACCTCAGCTCTAGCCTTGTCTTATCCCTCAACTAGTTTCTCTTGGATTTAGCGTCCAGTCACGTGTATTATAGGATTTTTATTTCTGTAACCTGCACGGAGGGTCGAATATAAGGTAACACTGGTTTCCACCGCAACATGTATGTAAGAAATGACCATGTTAAAATTACTTATAAGCATACTCTACAGAAGAAACGCACATTTCTGTGATGCATTCGATGAATAATTGGGATACAGAACGCTTGACACACCCTAAATAGATCATATAGATTACCGTCATAGAGTTTCACGGGTTACGTCATCTATTGTAAGCCTCTTACGTGGTGACGATTGGTCGCCGCCATAGTATAACCCTATTGCGCACTTATTAACTGCAAGACCTGTTCTTTCGTCGTAAACTTCATGTCTGGTTTGGAGTTGCCAACATGAAGAGCGAATCCGTAGAGGCAACGGTTGCTTGAAAAAGGGAAAAGGTTAGGGTCCTTGGGCATTGCTGAATGAAGGATCAATCAGTCAAAGATTTCAGAAGATTGTGTTGGTTGTTGTTGTCGTCGATGATGATGATGGTGGTGGTGATGATGATGATGATGATGATGATGATGATGATGATGATGATGATGATGATGATGATGATGATGATGATGATGATGATGATGATGATGATGATGATAGACGATGATGACGACATTTTTTACTTAAACCCACTTATACATTTTTGATGAACATATGCATTCCTTTCATATGCATTTGTTTTCATATGCATTCCTTTTCAACTGTTCGCAACACTGCGCCTTTACACTTTGCGCTACCATGAGATGAATGCTCGCCGAAGTGCAAATTTAGTGAACTGCTGTAAATAATTGTGAACTAATATGCTACGTCAAAAGAAGCTCAAGCAACGCGTAATTACTAAGACGATGTAAAAGATACTGAGACATGGGAATAAGTACGTCCCTATTAAAGGTGTCGCAGTGCTAAATCTGAGAATAGCGCTTAGGGCTAAAGTCAACGCTAAGAGGGCCAGTGTTAAGATAAGGGGTAGTAAGATTAGGATTATGATTAGGGTTAGTGTTTGGGGTAAAAGTTGTCACCGGTATAGATGCTCTCTGGTCATCTGTAATAAGGGGAGAGGTACTCATTCCCGTGTTCAACCAAAATATTTATAGTAGATTTGACCAAGTGGTGTTTGAAAGCAAGCAACAACTAAATGCGTCAATCAGCACGGTTTATGCCGTGCCTATTACGGTCTGCCCAAGTGGTATTCTAGGATGCAACACAAGGAAAAACTCGACGCTTTAACATTGTTTATATTTATTGTTAGTTTTAAACACTTGCCTTCGTATTTATCGTTAGCATCTGTTACTAGCTTATTTTACTTTTATCAAGTATTCATGACTTGAGCGCGTGATAGTTAATTTAAGTCAAAATGACCTATTAGGGTTTATTTTCAGATTTTAGATTAAATTTAATGTCTAAAGGATCCCTATCCTGCCCTATTTATCATGCTTATTTATCTGGTCCAGGCCATGACATCGGGGTATACGCACCTTAAGAAGGCTGGCAAAGCAACTAATTTAATCAAGCCGTGCTGTCGGACAACCCCATCCGACCAATTTACCATTTATCCTTAACGCAACCTGTCCCAAACTGTACTGTCCGCTCCTGCCTCCTAGCTATTCCTCATCGAGCGAGGCCGAGGCTAAGGCCTGCCTTCATTCACAAGTAGGAGCACATTTGTACCAACCATTGCCTCTCCATTATCACGGCGGTCCGACCACGCCCAAGTAAACTTTTCTAAACACTGGATGTGGGTGTTGGGGAGGGAGGAAGGGGCGTTCTAGGACAGCGAGAGGGACACTGAGGCGGGAAGAAAAAATTCCCAGCAGGCTGGAGAACGACACTGTACCAGAAAAAACTGCCGATTTTTAGTGTTATCTCCGCTAGCGGTGCTTATTGATAGTTTTAAAGAACAGGAAATGTTGTAGGTATTGCTTAATGACTCCTTTAGAAATCAGGCTTTTTATGGACGCGCATCGGACATTAGCATTGGGACGTGAGGAGGGTGTCAGCGCAGGTTAATTCGTCATCGGTCACTCGTATATTTCGATGCTTCTATTAGAGAAGGAAAACATAACACATTCAATTAATTAGGACAAGCGGTGGGCGGATATTAAAAAGGAACTTTTACTGAAACGAATGTACAGAGAAAATGTATGCCACTGATATTCTGAAATTCCAAGGTGCAATCAGTTGAACATGTTTCTTCCTAGCAATGCCACGCCTGCCAGAACTTCTCGACATTTCTTCTTGCAACCACTTCCCAGTTGTGCGCTCGCAGCACCAGCGAACGGTACCGAAGCTCTTCAAGAATTTTATTTCACTATATGCATACTTTAATTCCAGTCAAGTTGGCTAATATTTTACTCCAGCAAAAATATAAAGATAAGACTGAATTTTGAATTTTTCGGTCATAAAGGCCGCTTTCATGCATCCGCTCGCGTTTACTGGCAAGCGGAGCTAGCCTAAGGAAATCCAGTTGGCTGATAAGTCGGAATCAGAGTTTGCGCTATACTTATCCTAACTTAATTTTGTATGGAATAAAAGTAATTCTAGCACTTGCTTTTCGACCATGAATGGGTTTCACATAATGTCGTACCGAGTTTTTCATTTGCTTATCCTTTCTCGGACTCGAATTACTGCCGAAATCGTTTAGGAAAAAATAAGCTTACCTAGTAAAGCATACGGCGAGCAGAAGCCATATAATGACATTAGTGGGAACCGAAAGACGGATTATTGCCGTCAACAGAGCCACTAACTTGCAGACGAATGAGCTGAGATCAGATAAAACTGTTCTAACTGGGAAGGGGGACAAACGTGACAGAACAGAGCAAGGATTTTTCCTTCTAACGTTTCAAAAACTGTTTTATCTGCGTCCTTAATCTCAGTACTTAATTTTTGAAAAGGGCGTCATTTAGACCGAAAAATTAACAACGACGGGCGCATATTTTTCTTACCCTATTGCCTTTGGTAATTCAAAACGAAATACTTTACAGACTGTACGGAAGGAAGAATGCACCCGTTTTGTTTTTACCCTCCTCACTATTCTTGGCCACTGAGGCGACAGATTTTTCCCCAGACTTCTACACCCGCCTGGAGAGCCATTATAGCAATCTAATTGGCAACGTATTCCGACTGAGGAGCCTGGGTTTAGCAAATAGACCGACTGTTTGGCGATCAGAGTTTTTTTCCGAGCATGGCCGACTAGCGACGCAAGTTAACAACGCGGCACCTTTGAATCTGCCTCTGAACAGACAAGGTTTTTCCCCGCTTCTTCCACTCATATGGTAATAAACGCAGGTGTAGTGCGCATTCGGGTCTAATTGCTACGCACTGGCCCAAGTTTGTTTCACTGCGAGTCATAAAAGTAACGCATTCCTTTGTAGGTAACCTTTTGTTCATGAATCTGTCTGTGCTCCCAATCACACCTTGGGATGCCAGAGGAGCCTGGTTGGTTTGCAACAAGTAGCAGTTCAAAATTAAACCACCTGCACAGGCGTTTCGTTTTTTGTTTCTGGCCTTTCTCCTCCTAGATCTTCCAAATACGCCCTTTTCCACAATTATATTCGGGATTCGGGTCTTGATCATTAGACAAACAAACACCTAACTTCGCTGCATAAACATCTGAAGATCAGTCTGCACCACGCTTGTCCTGAAGGGTAAATATACAGTATGTAGCCTGAACCATGAAACGTGATAGTGATAACCGAAACGATCGAATTTAGGCACCTGAAATGCTGCAGATTTTATTTATTCCTCTAACGCCTTTTGAAAATGCCCTTTTACTATGCAGTCAAAATATATGAACATTTGAGGGGATATCTACGTTACCTTGTATTCGGAGGATGTTCTATGCTAACAGTTATCCTATACTAAGTTCGCGCACCCTAGCGTGTTTTCTATTGCAGGCGATTAATGTAAACTCGACAGTTTTACCAATACACTTGTCCTACTTGGAAGTTGATTTTTTCCCCATGTAAATCGGACGTACGGAACGTAAATAAGGAGGTCATGTTTAGAAAACCAGATGTTTTACAGATTTAAAAGAGTTGGATAAAAGCGAGTCACTTTGTTTGCAGAGGAAAAAGTATCACCTAGTCTCGTAAAAGCGAAAAAGCCGACCAAGCTTTCCAACTTTTTATAATTACTTAAACTCGAGAAGAAGTAAGATATGAAGACATCCATCAGTTAACTAACTTATTAAAACGCTTCCTAAAGAGGAAACTTATTAGTGGAAGTTTTTTAACCAACCTGGATCATATCTATTGCCGATGTTCCTTGTGGACGTTTATTTCATTCGGAAATGTGGTTTCGTATTTGAGCGAGCTTACAACTATAACCAAAACGGCCATCTGTATTAGAATGGCCAAGCACTCACAAATTAGGCAAACGCTTCCAATAACTATCTTAGTTTTGAAGGTTTTGATAAGCACATAGCATAGAATCTACCTTTCTGGACAATCCATCGAAAAAAACTAAAAATTGTGAAATATTCAACGATATTTCAAGGACGATCTGAAACTCCACGTACTCCAACACAAGAAAAAGCTGTAATTCATAGATATTTTAGCAGATTTTGAATAATTCATATGGACCCAACTGTGGGGATCTCGTCGCCTCGGTGGGATTCGAACCCGCGCAGTAAGGGGAAGGCTTTAGTACAGCCAATGCTCTAACCACTTCAGCTACGAAGCCCGCTGGAATTATTCAAAATCTGCCGAAATATCTATGAATTACGTGAGCCTAGTAGTCATCTAGTGGATTCTAGGTGAATTACTTAGGAAATCCTGCCTGGGCGGTCAACTTACTCTATCAGATTTGGTGGATTCCAGACGTTGCAGTAGGTTGGGCGGGTAACTTGACCCAAATGGGATTGAAATCGCGTCGTCCGGCGGGACCTCGTAGCTCAAGTGCTTAGAGCGCTGGCTGTACTGAAGCCTTCCTCTTACTGCGTGGCTTTGAATCCCACCGAGGCGCCGAGTTTTTCACAGTTGGGTCAATCTGAACAAAAGCAGTAAAGAAATTTAACGGAAAAAGTCCTCTTAATAATCACAAAATGGTATGTTTTAGATTGTACCTAACATTTCTATTCAAACTTATTCGACCCTGACAGACCAATCCACTTTTGACTTTGTGAAAAATCTAATTCCTGTGGCGTCCCTATCGGCGAACTCAAATTTATTCTTATTTGTCTGAATCAACCGCAACCCGAACAATGCAAAACGGAAAAGTTACAGCAAAATCTCGTGAAACCGTTTGAGTCTAAAGTCAAACTACAGACTGTTAACTAACTTCCATATTTGACATTATGCAATCTCAATACGATACTTAAGTGCAAACTTCAGTAAAGGGCTATTTTCAAACGAAATTCTACTTATGTCGTTTAATTTACTCAGTTGTTCGCATGAAAGGCCTTTCTATATGCACAGTTACAAAGATTCCCGACGTTTTCCGAATTTTCACCTTTCTAAAAAATTGTTATTTCTAAACAACTTAGTATTACTTTTGACATTTTTTCGTGCTTTCAATTCGCTTGAGGTCGTCCATTATAAAGTTGGAGTTTCGGCCCATTCGTTTGTGTCGGCTTGCGAGTACTTAACAATGTTTCATAAATTTCGGCAC